AGGTGGAACTGGCACCTCTCCAGCTACCAGTCCACACTTCATACTGTGGTCTGTGCTGGACTTGAATCGGCAACCCTCCGGTTCCAAAGCCAAGTGCCTGCAGACTGAGCTACTAAATATATAACAAACAACAAAAATAAAACATAAAAACATATTCAGACAAGTGACAATGTCATCATTATTTTACAAATATACTACTGGGCTGCATGATGAAGACAGCCGGAGATATTTGTGTGTCTCTAAACCAAATTACAGGCAAACAGTGGTGACATAACACTACAGCATGGTTTTATTCAACTCAAAACATCTGCTCCACTGAAGATATGTGGCGGAGGAGTATTTTTTATTTTTTTTTAGTTCCCACTCCCACATAGGCCACTGAGTGTACTTTGGTACTCTGCCAGAGAGCCAGTGTCATTATTATAAGATAATCATGCCAGTGCTCAAACATGTCCAAAGGTAAAGCCTGACACTGCTCAAAGAGAAAGGAAATAAAATATACAAACTGGCCAAATATCACAACCATAGTATGTCTAGTGGTAAATAATATTTTACAAACAGCTGTTGACCCACTTAATTAATTTAACAATAATTATCAAATTAATGTGAGATATTTAATTCAGCAAAACAATAAGACTGTAGCTGTTCAGTATTTTACTATAAATGTAATATAACAAAAGATTGTTGTAGATGAAAACTGAGATTGTTCTGGCAAATACAAAAATACCAGTAGTATATAATACCACATCACAGGCACAGTGAACAACTCAACCCTTTTTCAGAAAGTCCATTTTGTTATGAATGGCTCGTTAAAGTAGTAAAAGAGATGATTCTGAGACGGTCCCACTCGTCTCTGAATGACTGCTCTCCCTAGTGTACACCAACTGTCACTACAATAAAACACGTGGTCGAATACGCTTTAGAAAATAAACCTAATTTAATAACCCTACTAAGATTTGTAACACAGTTACATGCTGTTGTACAGTGAGATGGAATCCATTCACAGCCATTATAAAACACTGTAATCCTGGATCAACCACTGCAGTCTCATCACTTTAAACTCAGCCGACAAAAGAAATCTGGATTATAGCAATATATTTTCTTATGACTTTATTGTAGTATGAATTGGCAAGCACAAAGAACAACTGAGCTCAGCGTACAGGTGAGCCAATTAACGGATACATATGTACAAAACACACAAGTGCACACATCCGACTTAATATTCACTCACTTTGAGATCCATCTCAGGTACAAAAATAACACAAGAGCTTGTTTTCATTTGCAGGACCTCAAGGGACATACATACACAGCTAGAGACCCTTAGTGGAAAAGACAATCCAATGAAAAGGAAAAAAAACAGTGATGCATCATGACTTCTTCTTCTTCTTGAGTTTAAAATTGTCCATGAAGAATGTGATTAAAAGATGCTTTTTATGCTATATAGTGAATAACCAACCGTGACAAGATTATAACTGAAATGCTATGGATGAATAAAATACATGGCCTTCTATAGTCAAAACATTCAATACTTCATTGGCACCATAAAAACATGAGTAAGTTGAGGAAATATTGCCTGTAACCAAATTGTATATATTTAGTGACACACTAAACTGTAATGACAAGACCTTTCAATAAGAATGAATACTTGGAGATGAAAAAGCATTCAGCTGCATCGTTGGGGACATGCCTTTTTCATATTTACAATCTGTCAATAGCAGTGGCACAAGAAAGAAGAAAATGTACAGAGGGAGACTAAAATGGTCGCACATATATACATAAAGGATAAAAGAACTAACCAAACGCGTGGTCGATTTCATGAAGAAGAAGAGGCTCTGACTAAAATACAACACTAAACTGCCTTTATGAGACAGTTCCAGGAGTGCATCAGTTTCTTTTTTTTCTCTGTGGTGATTGCTCGGTGCTCACAGGAGTAAGTTGCTTACAGAAGTTAGGATTGTTTTTAATTACTGGCGCTTGGCTTTGTAAGGTCGGGAGCGTTTCCTGCGGTCAGGCTTCCTCTGTTTGTGCAAGCGACCGATGCTCACTCCCTGCCGACGACGCACAGAGATGTTCTGCTCCACAAGGCTGGCCAACATGCCTGCAGGAAACACCCAGTCAGAAGGAAGGAACAAAGAGATTATTAAAAAAATACCAACAAAACAACAGATTTTTAGCATTTAGTTTTTGCATCCCTTCCATCTGGTGGTTAGAAATGGATAAAATAATAAATAAAATAAAAAAATAAAAATAAATTAAAAAAAGGTCTATTATTTGTCTTGACATGTAAAAATTAACAAAAATGTGTCTGACATTTACCCACAAGTACTAGTAAAACTTACTTCTATTTCTTCGTTCCCCGCCCCCGCCCTCACAACCACGACTCTAAACTGACTGGAGTTTTGCTCAGGCATTCAGTACAAAATAAAATATCCATAAAAACAGTGTGATGTGAGTGGATGTAAAACATTTAGACACTAATGATCCCCCCCCCACTGAGAAGCCAGGAATTTAAGTGAAGCTTCAGAAAAAGGTTTGCAAATGTTTTTCATGGAAGGGTAAAGGGAAGCAACAGAAAAGTAACGATTTACCTTCTTGGGCCAGCATTGATATAAAGGTGCAGATGAACTCATCGTAGTTATGGGTCCTCCTTTGATCATCGATCTGATCAAATGAAAAGAAAAAGATTTTGATTAAAAGACAATAAAAACAACGTCTCACCAGAGATACTGTATTGGTTCCACGTAAACAAAACCTACTTTGTATTTCTTTCTCTTTTCTACTTCCTCCTTTAGGTACACCTCGTAATTGGCAATGTCAGCCTCTACGCACTTGAGCAGTGCGAGCAGCTCCTGCAAGAAACAGAATAAGATTAACCGCTCTGTGTGTTTGTTTATTATATATTTTTTACTGTACAGCTTTAGAAACAGTTCCCTAATTGGCAGCACAAGCGAAAATGTGAGAGTACTGTGTTATTAAAAAAATGCTGGCAGGCTGATAAGCATAGCGAGATACATACTACAGTGGATTATAACACGAGGAAATTCTCAGACTTACTTTAGGAGAGTACTTATCCCCAGGGGGTTTGCTGTCTGCAGTGGTTTCCATAGCGCTGGGTTTCTCCTTGCTAGGTTTCACCTCTGCCCCATCTTTGCTCTCCTCCTGTTTGACCTCCGCAGACGGACCCGCGTCTCCCTCGTTCACTCCTTCCTTCTCTCCTGGTTGCTCTTTGTCTTTTGTCTTCTCAGGAGTGCACGGCTGCTTTGTGCCATCAGCAGCCGAATCTACTGATAAAGTAACAATTTATCAAAAAGTAGCCAGGCGACGCAGACGATCCATTATTAAATGTTGTGTATGTTATTCTCATTGGGGTCAACCCGAACTGTTTACTTCTACTGTCTAAGATGATGAATATGCTCTGACTGCACTCTGAATATCAAGGGACAGACTGAAATGCTTGCTTCAGCAGAGGCTTTTAACCACCCTTGTAAATAACATGGACGACAGTAACGATCTCTTGTACTCACCAGATGGAGGGAGAGCAAAGATGATTCCGTCCTCCTGCAGGTGTAACAAAGCTACGCTGACAGAGGGACCCAGTTCTCTTACAGCACGATTATATCTGGAGTCTAGCCTCAGCATCTCATCGTCTCCGAACAGCACACGAGACAGATGGGATGCGACTGGACTGGATGGGCGCGTGGCAGCCTGGGAGCGCGCAGGTGAGCGCAGCGGGGAATTGAAGGCACTGCCGATCTCAGAGGCCGTGTCAGTGCTTTCGTTGCTCGGCGTGGGGGAAGGCTGTGAAGCAGATGTGATGCAAATGCCCCCGGTGCGCCCCTCTGTGCGTACAGAAAGGGGTGTGTTCAGGGCATCTTTCCTTTGGGCCTCCTTCTTCAGTTTCTCGGCCAATACAGTGAG